GTCTGTGACTCACAGGGACCCTATGTACAACAGCTTTGAACCCTGACCTATCCTGAGTCCATCTCACAGTCTGTGACACCCCTGCCCCCATTACCCCAGTCACCATGTCAATCCACCTCATCCAGGGTCTTCCGTGTGTCAGTCTACCTCATTTGGGGACTTCCCTGTGTCAGTCCATCTCATCCAGGCGTAAATTGAGCAGGTTCAGTGGCAGAAATCGGGAATCTCATTATTGGGAAGAGAGAAGAAGCAGAGGAGGCAGCACACGTCCTTTGGGGCCAGAGTTCCTGCCCTGGTGATGGAGGGTTCATGCACTTCCAGAGCCATCCGAGTCAGGGCTCAAAGGGACAGCCAGGGAGGTCCATGGACACTGACCCATGCAAAATGCAACTGGGAAGACCAATAGATGGAGAGGCATCCAGCTTTCCCCTGCTCTGAGGACCTCTTTATAAGGAAGAATGGGGCTATTTCCTGGATTGAAGGTAGAGGTGGGGAGCCTGAGGAACTGCGGGAGCTCCGATCTGAAGGGCTCCTGGGATTACTCGGAAGAGAAGGAACAGCTCCAGCAAAGGGAAGGGAGAACGTGAAGAAAAACAACTGTATTATTTTACTCCAGCAACAAGAGCAAAGTTCAACAGAGTAGCTGGTGAGGTTGAGGAGAGATTAGAACCCTTATTCAGTGCTGTTGTTGTTGTTATGTGCTGCCGAGTTGCTTGCGACCCTATGTACAACAGCCCTAAACCCTGCTCTATCCTGTGCCTATCTCACTGCCTCTGACACACCCATCCCGATTACCCGTCACTGAATCAATCCACCTCATAGAGGGTCTTCCCCTCCTGCGCCGTCCCTCCACCCTCCCAAGCATGATGACCTTCTCCAAGGACCGGTCTCTCCTCACAACATGTCCAAAGTATGTTAGACAGAGCCTCAGAATCCTTGCCTCCAAGGAGCCACCTGGTTTAACCCTTTCCAGGACAAATCTGTTTGTTTTCCTAGTAGTCCATGGTATTCTCAGTACTCTTCTCCAGCACCACAGTTCAAAGGCATCAATTCTCCTTCTATCCTCCTTGGTCATTGTCCAACTCTGATGCATAACAAGTGATTGTGAAGACCATGGCCTGTATCAAATGCACCTTAGTCTCCAGAGAGACACCATTGCTCTTCAGTACTTTGGAGAGGTCCCTAACAGCAGACTTTCCCATGGCAATGCGTCTTTTCATTTCCTGGCTATTGGTGCCAAGAGTGTTGACTGTGGAGCCAAGCAAACTAAAGCTGTGAACAATCTCAATCTCTTCACCATCCATCCTGATGCTGCCAATTGGTCCAGTGATGAGAATCTTTGTCTTCTTGACATTGAGCCTCAATCCATAGTCGGATGATCATATGATATATTACTCTGGAGATGAAAAGGTGAGGAAAAATGGAGTTGCTTTCATAGTTAAAAAAGCCATTGCTAGATCCATCTTGAAGTACAATATTGTCAGTGACAGGATAATGTCCATACGCATACAAGGAAGTCCAGTGAATACCACTATCATTCAGATATATGCACCAACAACCAGAGCCAAGGAAGAGGATATAGAAGATTTTTACCAACTTTTACAATTGGAGATCGATCAAACATGCAATCAAGATGCATTGATAATAATGGATGACTGGAATGCAAAAGTTGGAAACAGAGAAGAAGATTCAGTAGTTGGAAAACATGAACTCGGTGACAGAAATGGAGCTGGAGAGAGAATGATCGAATTTTGCACAATCAATGACTTATTCATAGCAAATACATTTTTTTGAGACATAAACGCAGGTTATATACTTGGATTTCACCAGATGGTATGCATAGGAATCAGATCGATTAGATCTGTGGAAAGAACCGCTGGAGAAGCTCAATATCAGCTGTGAAAACTAGGCCAGGAGCTGATTGTGGAACAGACCACCAACTACTCATATGCAAGTCCAAGCTGAAGTTGAGGAAAATTAAACCAAATCCAAGGCAACCAAAATATGACTTTGAGTCTATCCCACCTGAATTTCAGAACCATCTCAGGAACAGGTTTGAGTGCAATATATAAGCTGGAGGAAAAAATATAGCAGCTGCCCCCAGGTCTAGTCATTCCCTGAGAAACCTGATAGTTTCAAGGGCAGCCAGGACAAATATCAGACCAAATGACAGATTATGATAAGACTCTGGGCCTGATCAGAAAGCCCCGACCTGAGTTAATTAACAGGCCCAAATTCTAAGAGGTACTATCTTCCCTAGCCTTCTTCAAGACCCCTGGGTAAAAGGACAACCCCTAATTGCAGGCACAGCATTCTGACTTTCTCCTCTCCTAGTCAGTTGGTGTCCCTATGACCATGCAATCAAGGCCTGTTCATTTATTGGGATCAGTTTCTTTCTTTCGCTTTCTCGCCCTCAACTCTTCTTCTAACATAAGCTACATTTTTAACATGACCCCGCACATCAGTGCCTGGGGGACACAATCAGATTGTACTCATCCACTGGGTAAGGAATTAAGCTGTAAACCCAAAGGCCGGGTGGTGGGCAATCTCCTCCAGTGAGATTTACAGCCACTGAAAATTCACTGGAGGGTCAGCTCTGAGTTACTTCTGACTTGACAGCAATGTGTGACTCATCTAAATGTTGGCAGTTCAAACTCACTATTTAGTAACAAGGAAGACAAAAAGTAGGTTCATTTTTGTTTAAGCACCCCCACCCCCATCTCCCACCTTACTAGCGGCAGGGGCCGGAAGCAGGTGCAGGATGGGCAGGGTGAGTGAACTAATGACACTTAACACCTCTTCGAGACTGGAACAATGGGCCGCAGCATGAGGATTGCTACATGTGGTAGTGGACTCTACATTACCTAAAAACAACAAATGCTGCTGAAGAGTCCTGGTGGCATAGGGCCTAGTATCAGGCTGCTAACTGGAAGGTGGGCAGTTCAAATCCACCATGATTTACAGTCTAGGCAACCAGTCACTATGAGTGGGCATTGACTAAGAGCGGGTGTGTATTGGTTTTAGCAGTAACAGCACAATGTCTGCAACTCCAGTTTGACAGTCTTGCTTTTAGGAGAGGTTGACCTTCCACAGAGGAAGTGGAAAGAATAAAGTCTATTTACATTATAAAAGGCTTCCCGAGGGCTCCATGAAAGCGAGAATGGGGGAGCCTGGAGCCTGTGCATGAGGAGGGAAGGGGGGGGAGGGCGGGGATGGGGGCCTGAGCCTGCAGTCGCTGTCTGGGAACCCTTCCTCTCCTAGGTTCTTACACTTCTGACCTGGCCTAATTAAAAATCCTTGTGGAATTCCCATTTAGAAATTGGTTTGGGGCAAGATCATCTCCTAAGCCATGAGTTGAATACTGTACATCAATATTTCAAGTCAATAAATTACAAAGATGTATTTTACAGTCACGACAGGTTAGCTAGGTGAAAATTATTTTGTTCACTAAATCCCAGGATTCCTGACTTAGGGAATCCCAAGGGCAAAGCGAAGGACAGGGCATGCGTGTGGGGCTGACCCCCGCACCAGTCCTCAGGGTTGAGCCCTTAATGAACTTTCCGGAGCTCCCTGTCCACAGGAGGGTGCCCGGGCAGGGGGCCGCGGGCCACAGGCCACCACAGCGACTGGCTCTGGAGCTCCCGGCTTCTAGGCCTCTGAACCAGCTCGGCGGATGCCCGGGGGTCGCCCCCCAAATGACCCCTCCTGGGCCTCTGTCTACGTACCGTCCTCACACCCCGTCCTGGTTGACCCCGATCCCCCCACCAGGGTTGAGCCCTCCCCTCCCCCAAAGAAAATGTCGAAAAACAGCCAGGGGGTCAAGGGCGGCAGATCCCTGATCCAGGAGCCCCCCAAGGTGGCCCGGGACGCTAGATCGCTGCTCTAGGCCCCTAAAAGGCGCCTCAACGCTTAGGCCAGCGAGGGGGGGCAGCCGTTGACGGCCCGAGGCTGATACTGTTGGGGTCTTTAGGGTGAACGTTGCATTTATGCTAATTCACATGAGTTGGGGTTCTCAGGACAGGGCCCCACGGTGGGGGAGGTGGGGGTGCTGCAAGTGGGGGGCTGGCGCATGCCTCCGGGGGCGCACCTGGGAGTGAGAGATGGAAGAGCGCCCACCCCGGGAGAGTTGGGGGACACTAGGAGAGAAAAGGGGTGCCGACTCCGGGATGGGAGGCCGGAGCGCGGAGGAGCGCTGGGGAACACAAGGTCGGGGTTCAGGCCGGGGTGCAGCCGCGACGGGGGATGGGCTGGGGGCGTGCTGCGGCGAGGGGGGGGGGTGGGGGACGTGGGGGGAGGAAATTGCAAAGCGAGGGGAGCCGGGAAGCGGCCCGCACAGAACGGACTGCGCAGGTGCAGACGCCTCCCGAGCCTCGGGGACCGCGCAGGCGCCTCCCCGAGCCGCGCGGACCGCGCAGGCGCAGTGGGGTGTGCGCGCGCGGAGCTCCCGGGGGGAGGGGCGGGCCGTGGCGGCGCGCATGCGCAGGCGCGCGGCCGCGGCGGCGGTTGGGGAGGGTTCTTCCGGAAGGTTCGGGAGGCTTCTGGAAAGCGCGCCGCGCGCTGGGCGGGCCCGCGTCTATATAAGGGAGCCGCGGGGGCGGCGCGCCAGTTGCTCCTGCGTCCGGTGCTGCTGCTGCTGAGCTGCGGAGCCCGTGGTCCTGTCGCCAAGGTGGTGGTGGGGGGGTGTTTGGGGGGCGCATGCGGCGGGGGTCTTGGGGCGCAGAGCGGGGGGGGCTTCCTGGCCGGCCGGGCCCCCCAGAGGTCCTGGGTGCGGCCGCCCCCCGAGTGCCCCGCGGTGGGGGAGGGGCGCCGTCGCGGGGTCCTCCCCTCCTCCCCCCAGGGGGGCCCCTTCCTCCCGGATCGGGGACCGTATCGGGTGTCCGGAGCGCTGACCGCCCGGGATGAGCGCCGTCCATTCGGGATGAGCGCTGACCGCCCGGGATGAGGTCATCCTTTGTGGCTGGGCCCGCGGACCCCGGCCTGAGCGCCCCCCGCCCCCCCAGATGCCGGAGGAGACGCAGCCCCGCGACCAGCCGATGGAGGAGGAGGAGGTGGAGACGTTCGCCTTCCAGGCCGAGATCGCGCAGCTCATGTCGCTGATCATCAACACCTTCTACTCGAACAAAGAGATCTTCCTGCGCGAGCTCATCTCCAACTCCTCGGACGTGAGTGGGGGCCGCGGGGGTCGGGGGCGCCGGGTGGGGGGGCTGGCGCGCGCGCGCACCCCCGCGCTGACCATGTGGCCGCTGCCCCGCCAGGCGCTCGACAAGATCCGCTACGAGAGCCTGACGGACCCCAGCAAGCTGGACTCGGGCAAGGAGCTGCACATCAACCTGATCCCCAACAAGCAGGACGGCACGCTGACCATCGTGGACATGGGCATCGGCATGACCAAGGCCGACCTGATTAACAACCTGGGCACCATCGCCAAGTCGGGCACCAAGGCCTTCATGGAAGCGCTGCAGGCCGGGGCCGACATCTCCATGATCGGGCAGTTCGGCGTGGGCTTCTACTCGGCCTACCTGGTCGCTGAGAAGGTGACCGTGATCACGAAGCACAACGACGACGAGCAGTACGCCTGGGAGTCCTCGGCCGGCGGCTCCTTCACCGTCAGGACCGACACAGGTGGGGATCTCTGGGGGACCGGACCGACACAGGTGGGGACCTGGGGGAACGGGAGCAACACAGGTGGTGACCTGGGGGAACGGGAGTAACACAGGTGGTGACCTGGGGGAACGGGACCCACACAGGTGGGGGCCTGGGGGAACGGGACCGACACAGGTGGGGGCCTGGGGGAATGGGACCCACACAGGTGGGGGCCTGGGGGAACGGGACCCACACAGGTGGGACCTGGGGGACGGGACCGACACAGGTGGTGACCTGGGGGAACGGGACCCACACAGGTGGGGACCTGGGGGAACGGGACCGACACAGGTGGGGGCCTGGGGGAATGGGACCGACACAGGTGGCGGCCTGGGGGAAGGCGCAGGCACTGGCTGCACGACTGCCCCACGTAGGCCGGCGCCAGCTGCTGACCACTTAAAAGCTTGGTTATGTGGGCCACGGCGTCTGACTGCTCTGGGAGTCTCCCTGTGATGAGCATGTTCTGCTTTCACGTCATTCGGGCGTGGGTGGGCTCCCGACTGGCTGGCTGGCAGGGAGGCAGGCCTGGGGGGTTGACTTTTAAGCTTCCATCAAATCCCACCTGTTCTTTTTTTGAAGGTGAACCTATGGGTCGTGGAACAAAGGTTATTCTGCATCTGAAGGAGGACCAGACTGAGTACTTGGAGGAAAGGAGAATGAAGGAGATTGTGAAGAAGCACTCTCAGTTTATCGGCTATCCGATTACTCTGTTTGTAAGT